AAGAAATTTGATTGGCTGTTTATAGTAGATCCAATCTCATTGGTGTGACATACATACATCTCTCACTCACTCACTCACTCACTCACTCACTCACTCACTCACTCACTCACTCACTCATTGACCCGTCCATAACATACCCGACGCGCTGACTAAGAGGTATTTTTTTTCCAAAAAAATAACGCAGAAAGCAATTCAATCTGCACGATTTTGCTAGAGCGTAGAGTTTAATACCACGGTGAGAAATGATTGGAAATCGCTCTCTGAAGGGGAATTTAATTTAATTAGTCAGGGTTTTACTAAAACAATAAGATTATTCGCTGTCGATTTCTGAGGCGATAGCTGATGAGGCCCAAGGCTCTCTAGCCCAAGCTCATAATCTAATATATTGTTAAATAGAAACACGATTTTTAACCAATCAGCGTGCGTATTTACTTTCGGCTATGTTCTAAAGGATCCTGGAAATAGGCCTGAGAGTTAAAAGCGCTCAGGTATCGCAGTCTGTGACACTTAACCCAGCGCAGGTTCTATTAATGAAACTATTGCCTTTCTATTAACGTCTTGCTTTCTATTGACATCTTTGATTACTAGTGTCACATTTTGAACAGCAAATATTGCATAAGCATTCCTTTAAACTCGTGCAGTTTAGTCCTTTCAAAACACTCCACAATCCTTATGTTTATCGATCACTTCTGTTGAGACTGTTGAGACTGTTGAAGAGTCTTGAAGGCAAAATTTTTGAGAGCCCCGAATGTCGTTTAACCCCGGGCGTTTAACTAAGTCCCCAATTTCTTGGAGGATTGACAACATTTTGTCCTACATGTAGAAAGTGACCGAGTGAATGATAAATAGAACACGGTAACCAAATCTTGTTTACATAATAACCGAAATGTATGATTTGGAATCGTCGAACATGTATGATTTATTTTCACGGCAAGTATTGCATCAACATTTAGGTAAAGAGGTCTATTTCGGGTCGAGATATTTTGCGCTCAAGGGGAAGGGAGCAGTTTGGACACCCGTGGAAAAAGGAATTTCCACTCACGGTGAACTCGGTCTACTCGCGTACAAAAATTTAAAAAAAACCACAAAAAACAAACAAAAAAAGGCGAGTAATACATGAACTGGGCTCAGCCCTGGGCCGTCCCGGTTAATTACTCCATTCGCCCTTGTTGAACAAGTTGAATAAGAGATTATTACAACAAACTTGGGCACTTTTTAATAATCATCTCATATCCAACGCGGGCATATAAATTCTAAACTAACCAAGACTCAGTGAACCAATCAGATGGCTAGAAATGCATTTACCATTTCATAAGCATGGCTATCTATGATGTGGCTATGATATGGTCACATAGCTGATGTGGGCCGAGTTTGAATGAGCTTGAATATGTGGGAGGCTTGGTGGCCTCATGGTTTGAGCGCTCGACTGCAGAGTGAACGGTCCGAGTTGGAGCCCTGGTGGGAGAAATTATGTTGGCTTCTTGGGCAACACACTTTACTCTCAGTGCCTCAGTCTGTCCACCCAAGTGCATGAATGGATACTAGTACCAGTAAATTTATTGCTGGGGGGGGGGGGGGGGGGGGG